TAATTTGATTTTTTTGCGTGTATATCATACAGAACATCCCACACAATCTTATTCATCTATATACCCACTTCCCAAATGGCACCCTCCCATAGCCTCCCCTCTCCCACACACTGGAGCCCATATACTCTGTCATCCCTGTTACTGTCCAGTGTGTTGTCAGCACCCCCAGCCATTCCCTAGTGCTTGTCCATCTGCTGAATCTACTCAGCCTATCTAGAGTCCCTTGTTTTAGAGTCCCTTGTTTATGTTTAGCCTATCTAGAGTCCCTTGTTATGTAGCCTTTAGCTATACACATGGACTCTTAAAAAATTATATCGACCCCTTTTCTCTTTGGTTATACTTTCCTTTTGGGTGTTTAAGACCCTACAGTTGGCCCAGAAAAACCAATTTATTTTCACTCTTAAGGTCATTTGTGGATCTGTTTCTGAGGGGTAACATGGGCTTGGGAGGAGCCCCTGGCTCCTTTCTGTTACCAGTTCTATCTATGTGAAGATAAGTCAAAGGTCCTACTCGACCATGGCTGGTTTTGCTTGGAAGCATAGAGGAAATGTTCCCTCTTTGTTGACCCTCTTTGTAGACTGGACACTGGTTCAGGTCCATCTGGTAGGGTCTCTACAGCCTCCTTGATCAAGAGGACTGGTGACTCACCACAGTTACAGGACATTTTGAGAGATGCTCATAGTCCCCTGGAACTTAGTCAACCTAGGAGGGAAAGGAGCAAAAACTGTCCTTTATGTCCCTCTGTCCAAATTAGTATAGGCCTCATAGTATGGCTGTTAAACATCCAAGAAGGTTAGTTCCACCACTCTGGTACTTTTGGTAAATTTTGTTTTAAAGTTTTTATTTATTTTTTATTATGTGTGTAAGTTTTGCTTGAATGTATGTAAGTGCATCTGTGGCATGCAATGCCTGAGGAGGTCAGAAGAGGCATCAGATCCTCTGGAACTGGAGTTATAGACAGTTGTTAGCCACCATGCGGGTGCTGGAAACCAAACCTAATCCTCTGCAAGAGCAGCCAGTGCTCTTAACCCCCAGCTATCTCTCCAGTTCTGAAAGTTAAATTTTAATATAAGGTATTCTGTCTTGAATTGATATTGGTAAAAAAAAATCTTGAGACATTACATACCAAAAGATTTGTTTAGTAACTCAATTGTTTTTTAATGAAATCTAGAATTATCCAGTAGAGTAATTTAAATGTGTATAATTAAATGTAATTTACTTAAATTTACAAAGCACTGCTATGCTAAATTTGATTTCTACATCTACCATATTTGGTAGTATAATTAGCAGCATTTTGCAAATGCACACTTGGAATCATGACTTGCTAAATAGCACATTGCTAGTGGGCAACACCCAGTTGCTCAATGCTGCATATTTTCATCACCACTGCAATCTCATCTTTTTTTTTTTCTTTGCAGTTATGCAAAGGAGGGTAGGTCTAATCAGGCCCCTAATCTAGTTAAGTGGAGGCCCACAAATAGTCTCCTTTTTCTGTTTTTTTTGCTTTTTCAAGGCAAAGTGTCACTCTGTAATCCTGGCTGGCCTTGAACTTGTGACGATTCTCCTACCTCAGCTGGAATTACAGGGTGAGACACTATACTCAACACAAACGTTTAAGGGCAAAAGGCCTCCATCTGAGGTAGAAGGAAATAATAACCCTATAGAAGTCTAAACTTAAAGTCTTTTGTTTCCTAAGGAGAAAATTTACTTAAGAGGCAAAATAGCCAAAATTAAATATTTATGTGTTAGCTGAGGGGGCCACCAGCTATTTTCTTGATACAAATCCCTTCCTGTGACACATTAAATAAGAAGCAATCAGAATATTAGGGAGAGTAAAAATACTAAAATTAAATACATTTTCCTTTTTATAAAGCAGTAAAATTTTATTATATTGTGTGATATAAACATGTTAATGAGTTTATGCTAGTTTTTTCCTGTGTGCTTAGTTTTTGATAATTGATGCTGCTGTGTATTCTGGTTTGTCTATGTAGTCTGCCCTGTTGAATTTTTAAATAATTTGTTTAATAGCTTCACAGCATTATATTTTATAGACATACTATTATCTATTTAATCATTCCTTTATTTAAACTATATTTCAGATATTCCCTTTTTTAAACTTCTTGGAATAGATTTGCATATAAACATTATTTCTTTTCAAATTTTTATTTTTATTCATGTGTATATGTGTGTGCCTCTGTGTGTATGCCACATGTCTGTGGGTGCCCCCAGAGACCAAAAGAAGATATCGGATCACCTAGAGTTGGAGTTACAGGTGGCTGTGAGCCAGTGTGGGTGCTGGAAACCAAACCCTAGAACAACAGCAAGGGTGCTTAACCCTTTTAACCACTAAACCATCTCTCCAGCCCTTCCTTATTTCTTTATGTATAAAGAACAATTGCTAGATCAAGACTTAACAGACTGGGCAAGATTGTATACACCCTTAATTCCAGCACTTGGGAGAGAGAAGTAGATCTACATAAGTAAGTTTAGGGACAGTTTGGTTTATGTAGTGAGTTTCAGGTCAACTAGGGTTACATGGTGAGACCATGTCTCAAACAAACAAATACCACCAACAAAAAGAGAGTTAAACACATTCGATGCTGGGAAATGGCTCAGTGGGCAGAGTACTTACTATGTAAACATGAGGACCTGAGTTTTGGTCTCCAGTACCTATATAAAAGTCAGGTGCAGAGGTATGTACCTGTAATCCCAGTGCTGGGGTGGGGTGGTGACAGTCAGATCTTGGGGACTGACTGACCAGCCAATCTTGCCAATCAGTGAACTCTAGTCTCAATGAGAGACTCTGTCTCAAAAAATAAGGCAAAGAGCTTATTTAATAAGGAAAGACATCCAGTATCAACCTCTGGCTTCTACGTGCATATGCATTGATGACTGTACCCCCACAACATAAACACACATGTATACCACATGCACATACACAGATACACACAAAGTCGGGCATGTTTGAAGATGCATGTTTTCAAATTGTTGGGTTTTTTAAAGCAAATCTCTACTGTTGGTTACTTTTTTTTTTTTTTTAGTTTATATTGTTTATTACTCAAGAAACCAAAGCTATTTTTTTTTCTGGGTCATATAACCTAAAGATAAGGAAATGTTTATTCTTCACTTGGACGGTGTTTTACAGAAGAGGCTTTTCTTTATCTAAGCACATCAAGGGTCTCCACAATAATCACTGTTATTTTAGGATGTTTAATAACATTTTACAATAACATTTTATTTATTTAGTATGATGATTAAAAGTCATTCTGTTTGTTGTTTTACATAGACATAAATTTCACAGTCTCATTTTCAAATTAGTATCACCAATCCTAGATTACATAGGCAAACTTAAGTATCAAGTAACTGAGCCATACATGGTAGCACAGGCCTTTCTTTAATCCCAGCACTCAAGAGGTAGAGGCAGATGTATCTACATAGCTCGTTCCAGGCCAGCTGGGGCTACAGCGGGACCCAGTCACAAAAGAAAAGAAAGGAAAGAGAAAAGAGGAGAGGAGGAGAAGGAAAGGAAAAGAAAAATAAACAAAACAAAATGAATCAAGTAAGCAAGGAGACTGCCTTGCTGAGCATGTGTGCTAAAACTTTCTACCTTTGGAAGTCATTCAGCACTGTTGTATGTTACTTAAAATAAGATTACACTACCAGGATGTGTCTACACTGACTTATTATCTTTTACTTCTGTCTACTGTCTTCTGAAAAAG